AAGCGTGCCCTCGGAAGGGCGTCGGGGTAAAGCGTGCCCTCGGAAGGGCGTCGGGGTAAAGCGTGCCCTCGGAAGGGCGTCGGGGTAAAGCGTGCACTCGGAAGGGCGTCGGGGTAAAGCGTGCACTCTGAAGGGCGTCGGGGTAAAGCGTGCACTCGGAAGGGCGTCGGGATAAAGCGTGCCCTCGGAAGGGCGTCGGGATAAAGCGTGCCCTCGGAAGGGCGTCGGGATAAAGCGTGCACTCGGAAGGGCGTCGGGGTAAAGTGCCCCCTAAGATGGACGCTCAGCAGGGCATCGGTGTAGAGCGTACACTCAGCAGGGTGCAGGGATAGAGCGCGCCCTCAGAAGGGTGTCAGTCCTGAAGGCTCTCTAAATCTTTTGATAAATAGCAGTGTGAACACGATGTTACCCACCAAACCATTCATAAAGTGAGTTTGCTGTAGTCTAGCGCACATGATACAGACTCAGTGGTCATAGGTGAGCTCTCGAAAGAATAGTTTTGATCCTGCTGTTTTAGAATGGAGATAACAAACGCCTTATGAGAGTCAAAACATGGGGGTGGTTACTAGTCTCCATCACACCTGGATCCTGTGAACTCATTTCAACGATACAGTTTTTAACAAAGTTAAAGTTTAGCTTTAAACTCGAGTGCATTCACATGCTGATTCATGCTGTCTTAAAGACTGAGATGTTACCGCAAACTATAGCACGTAATTGACGGCTGTGACCGCCTTGGCTTTCTGTGGTAATGGCAGCTTGTTTGTGCCTTTTCATGCTTGTGGAAAATGTCATGAGAGAGTGGAAAGTGTCTTTCTCTCTCTTCATTTTGCTCTCAGTGAAACTCGTAGAGTTTTCTGCTTCTTTACGAAACAGTCTGCTGGTTTTCCCGGCTCACCATCTCTAACCACAGCAGAAGCCAAAGACACAGACTTTGCACATCTGTCTGTTTCACTGAAAGTAGATAATGAAACTGTTTATTGTCTACAAAATATTTGCTTCCAGTGCCAGTTTTTCAGCAGTACCTGACAGAATATTTCGACTTAACTAGAAATATCATCAGAAAATTTGAATTACGTCGTTACATATTCTGATTTTAAAATGGCTGGAAGTAAAAGACATATGTGAAAATCATTTAATAAATGGCTGCCTTTTATATTTCTGTTATTCGTAGCAGTCATTTTCTGGGCCCTTGTTTTAATTTTACCTCCAGAAGCCTTGAGGTGCCCCTGAGTTGGGGTCAGGTGGCCCCTCGGATGGGCCGTACCCACAGCCTGGGTGCAGGCAGCTAGCTCTGCTGCTCCCACTTCTCATTAGGAGCCTTTGAAAGACCCCATGCTGGAGAGCCCTGAGAGAGGGACTCCTCTGTGCCTCACAGCTTCGTGCCCGTCTTCCCGAATCGGGTCGCTGTGACTGTCACGGCGACTTGCACTTAGCGGGATTGTCTGGTGGTGGCGCGTGGGAGGCACTTGGGTCTGCCTGTCCGCAGAAGGGCATCCTCTGAAAGCCCAGACATCAGAATCCTAACTCAAGATAAATATTACTAATGAGAGGCTCATTCTCAGCAAAGAAGCAGGCAAATCGCATGAAGTTCAAAACATAAAGTTGAAAGAAACTCAGAGATGCAAGGCTGCAAAGTAGTAATATTTACAGTATGTTCATAACTTCCAGTATGTTTTGAAGATCACTGGCAAGGTGGCCTCATTTATCTCCAGTATCTCTGGAATTAGTGAGTTCTGAGGTGGGGTTAATTGAAGGGAAAAATGAAGCTGGTTTCTTTAGAGCGGGTGGGGTACACCCTTGTGTGCATTGACATCATCACAATGGGGGGAAATGCTGCAGCTGTTGATGTCTCCATTACATGTACATACAGAGGAACACAAGGCCACCCCAAAGGTTATGCGTCCGCCTTATCGGTAACTGACGTCATCATCATATGTGTTAGCCTTCAGGTCATCGGGCTAAAGTCCTGTGGGATGATTTATACCTCAGGTTAGCAGGGAAAAGTTTTCAGATGACTGTTGGATATAGTCCTAAAAGCTTGTTGCCATATTTAAACAGCTAGTCAAGAGCGACGCTGCTGCAATTATGTGACATCTTCTGCAGTGCTGCAGATGACGTGGAAACTGTGAGCAAGAAGCTCGGAAGTGACTTTTAATCTTTGTTTCTCATCTGCTTTTCATTCAGCTCTGGGCTCATGTTTGTGCTAGAAGAAGAAAACATTTCTGGCCTCATGTTTTAATTGGTTCTTCGAGGTCAGAATTCTGTTATGCCAGACATTGTGATTGGTTCTTATCTCAGATTTTATTTATACTAGACATTAAAGGCCTAACTGGGAAATCTCTATAGACGTTTTGTCTTGCTACACATTGTATAGTAAATAAATGGAGCGTTTCTTTAAGTGTGGTCTCTCTCTCTGCTCTCCCTCATAAGTGTGGTCTCTCTCTCTGCTCTCCCTCATATGTGTGGTCTCTCTCTCTGCTCTTCCTCATAAGTGTGGTCTCTCTCTTCCCTCTCCCCCATTATCATCTGGACATTTCCTTCCCTCAGTTGACAGGGTACACCCTGGACAGGATACCCGTCCATCACAGGGCACATACAGAAAATCATGGGCAGTTGAGAAATGCTAATTAGCCTTGCAAGAATACTGAGAGGAAATCCACACCACATAGGGAGAACATGCAAGATCCAGACACACTGCAGAGGCTGGACTTGAAACCCCCCCACACCCCCCCAGCATTAGCCACTGAGCCCCCAGCTGCTGCTGTTGGCCGCCTCCTGTTCTCTGCACCCTCCGTGACAGAGCCCCCATCTGCCGATTTTGTCTCTCTGTCCTTCTGCTCCACTTTGATTTCCTCTAGCCATGCGGTCATCCATCCATCCATCCATCCACTAAATGTCAGTCTTGATACTGTGAGGCCACAATGTTTACAATAACTTTAAAAGAAAAGTGTTTTATAGTGATAAAATTCTTGGTGAGATTTGGTTGAAATTTTAGTTTTGGAAATAATTTGCATGTCCAGTAATGCGGCGCATGAGGATGGTTTGGTAAACGGTGGACTGCATATCCGACGGAGGTCGTATTGCATTGTAATGGAGCTGAAAAATTCCTGCCGCCTGGTGATGTCACAGTACAGCATATTACTCGCGTGTTTGTGGGGATTTTGGTGTAAACAAACCTACTGCACTGCCAGTCATATAAAAGTATAGCGCCTACAATTACCTACAGTACATAATACTTGATAACGATAATAAACAAGTATGTTGCTGGTTTATGTATTTTCTGTACTTTTTATTGATATTTAGGCTACACCATATAGCCCAGGTGTGTAGTAGGCTACACCATATAGCCCAGGTGTGTAGTAGGCTACACCATATAGCCCAGGTGTGTAGTAGGCTACACCATCTAGGTTTGTGTAAGCACACTCTATGATGTTCGCAGAAGGACGCAATCACCTAACACTGCATTTCTCAGACCGTATCCCCGTTGTTAAGCGTCACATGACTGTGTATTAATTTCAACCTAAAACCCCAGCCGTATCAGTCAGTAGCTCAGCTGAAGGCTTTCTCTCCAATCTGAATCTGGCACGGCCCTCCTGCCTTCCCGGCCGCTGTGGACGTCACAGAGACGCTGGCGCCCGCCGCTGCCCGCCGCCGCCCGCACATTATGAATGGCAGTGGAGTCTGAGCACAAGCTCCCGCATTCTCTTATGTAAGCAGCCTGGGAGCTGAGCACATTTGCTCATTAATATTGAAGAGTCGCAAGCTCTTGAACAGCAATTACAAAAGCTATTTATATACCAAAATAAGCTCATTTTGGGCGCTCTGGGACGACAGGCTTTGAGCTGTACATGTGCCCAAGCTGTAGAGGGGCGTCTGGAACAGCAGCACGGTCAATTAAATCCATTTTCTTTAAGGGGCTCTCTGAGTAAAATGTGGATGTAGGTCCTGGAGGGGCTACTGAGCAGTTTGTCTGTGCCCAATTCTCACATTTATTTCTGAGCTTTGCCAGCCGAAACCAAACTTAAGCTCCCCTTTGAGCAGTCAAACTATTAAAGCTATAAACATTTGAAAGCATTTAAAACTCATAAATGAAGGAAATCTTTGGGCATTTTCATATGTCACGTTCCCTCTGTATCCAAATAGTGGAATTTTAATCCAAGTTTTATCATTCCAAGATGAGATGTGATGCATTCCAGCAAAAATCCTTTTTTTTTCTTATTAGAAGGAGTGTTTTTGTTTTACAAGAACAAAATGTCTGTGTTGTTAAACCATGTTATTATGTAACACTCTTTCAAAAGGGCTTTTAATTATTTACAACTCTGTTTTAAAAATGTAGTGTTTTAATGGAAGGCCCATCCTCATAGAGCCCTCTGGTCTGGATTCAGTCAGAAACCAAAAAAAAAAGAAGAAATACTCTGATCAACAGTCTTACTCTGTAATTCATATGTGCAAAGATCAATAAGTGTTACCGTCTTGTGAGGATGGTTTACTTCAGGTTAATAACAGAAATTCAGGGTGGGCCTAAAACAGGCCGTCTGTAGGGAGGTGACAGAGCTGGTTCCTGGGAAGCCCCACCCACCGTCACCTCCCTCTCCCTGCTTGGCTCTGACGTCCTTGTGAGCACCCATTGCCCTCCATGGCAGTGTTTCCCACCCCGGTCCTTAGCGACCCCCAAATAGTCTATGGTTTAGGTCTCTGTCACACAGTCAGACAGTTCTTGGAGCAAAAACATGGACTTTATGGGGGTCCCCAATGGCTGCTTTGAGATACACTTACTGCTCTATGGACAGGTGTGGACCTTCCAAAGATGGCCGCCGGCATGAGCACACCGCTCAGCTGCGCGGCTGAATGGTAAAGCTCAGCTGTGATGCGGCTTCTGTGTGGAGTTTGTGAGCAGCAGAGGCCCCCCGCTTCCTGCCCGAACAGAGGTGATGCTCTGCCAGGTGCCGGCTGCCTGCCTTCCGTCTGGAGAGCCGTGTACACACT